CACACACACACACACACACACACACACACACACACCATTTTAAAAACAAAAATAGAAAGAGAACATGGTTTATGAACCAAACACTCCCTCACGAACCAGTCAGTTCCAGTTCTTGACTGGAACAACCTCACTCTGCTGATTTGCCGGCGGACAGTCTGCCTCTTGCTCTCTCTTCCAAGAAGCCAAAGCTGTAAGGGAGTCCACACAAAACCACAACATTCAACTCAAAGGGTATAAAAGAATTTATTCTGGAGCTAAAATATGCGTGACCAGGGCTCAGAACATAGAGTTGGGTTCCCCTCAAATATGATGTTCCAACGTAGGAGTGGTTTTGTGGAGATTTTAATGGAACAGAACAAAGAAAGTTATTAATCAGAGAACTTGGAACGTATAAGGGGATCTCAACTGTGAGCCACAGATGCTATCTGATATTATTCCTAGCCCTTCGGTTGGTGGAGGATAGGGTTTTGTTAAGACGCTGCATTACTGCTCATCGGGACTTTAGGTCTATACACATGTGGACAAGGAGGCTATCCCAGGCTAAAATAGCCGGAGAGAAGTTGTAATTAGACTCTCAGCCTTGAAGATGCCACAGTCATTGAAGCTTTAATCAGCCTTTGTAGGGAGCTTCCTTTCAGGAACTCTCATCCACTACGGCAAGGGTGGGGGTCAGCAGCCCTGTCCAAGCTCACCTACAGCCCTAAAGGCTGTGGATGTAACACTTGGCCAAGTTCCTGACTTTGCCTGAGAGACATTTTCATTTTCAGAAAGGTCCAGTGGGGAGCTGGGAATGGTATTTCGTGCCTGTGATCCCAGCACTTGAGAGACAGAGGCAGGAAAATTGGCAAGCCTGGGCTACATAGAGAGACTTTGCCTCAAACAAATACACAAAACGAAAGCCCCAGAAATGTCCGATGGGCATAGTGGCACATGTCTGTAATCCCAGCACTGGGAAGGTAGAAGTGAAGGTCAGGTTCAAGGCCAGCCTGGGCTACACATCAGGTGTTCAAGGCCAGCGTGGGCTACATGAGACACTGTCAAGAAGAAGAGGACTGGGCCTCACAGGTAGTGCTGGCACCAGGTCTTAAAAGTTGGTCATTAAGGTCACAGGGGCATTATGAGAAGCGAGGCCCATGCTGGATTTTTTTTTTTCTTTTTTTTTTTTTTTTTTTTTTTTT